GAAACACGCTCTGCAAGAAGGGATAAAATATCTTTAGACAAAACTAAAATTCTGTGCCAGGACATTTACAAACAATAACAGGCAAAAAAGCATTCAACAAAATATTGACACTTCATTATTTATCAAAAACAACAAATTTGTTAGTGTTTTTTTTTTCTTTTTTTTTTTCAATTTTTTGAAGTAAAAGTCACCTAATATTAAATTTAAATCCTCTATATAAATCCTATTTTCAACGATTTTTCTTTCAGTTTAATTTATTATAAAAAATTATTAAGTGTATAAAATGAAATCATCTTTGTATTCAGTTTATTATTCATTAAGGTATTAATTATTTATTACCTTAATGATTTATTTGCTTTGAAATTATTAATATAAAGTTGTACCATTCTCAATTTTTGGAGTCATTGTATATGATGTTACGTATTCACGGATCACATAATTAAATGGTACTTTTCCGTTTTGCTGGCGCAGGCGATAAAGCTGCCAAAAACGGTACAAATGATGCCAAACGATGGTAACCTTTTACACCTCATTTTCAAAACAAGTTGCAGCCATTTCTCATCAGATTGATTGTTTCTTTCAATACTGGCATACTATTACATAAGATTTTTTACCAGGTATTTCAATTTTATGCCCTAAGGCCATTCACGGTAATTAAGTCAATTAGGATGCACTCACACCTCTTACCCGAAGTCGAAAATAGAGAAAAGGCAAAGTCAAGGGTTAAATTCATCAGTTCTAATGAGAATACACTAGCGAAGTAAAGCACTGCGGTTTTACATAATTTCTGAACGAGGTATTCATACGAATTGAAATAATTCCTGCATTTAAACTTGTATTCCAAATTAAGATTTAACTTGAAATTAATGTAGATAATTACTAAGAGAATTCGATTTTTGTAGTGCAGTTTACGGGAGATGAGATCACTCAGGGTCATGATATGAGCGAGCAAATCAGGATGTTGAACCATGAAAGCATAGTAAATTCTTAAATTAACGTCTTTTTACAAATTCATTGTCTTTATTTATTGGCTTTTCACAAAATTTTAAACGATATTAAAATGTTTATGCCCTCAAAATAAAAAATTCTTACAACTAACATTTGTTAACATTTTTTATATGTATACTGTATGCTGTCACCAATAAAGTCTGCTTGGTGAGATTTGCGGCGGCGAAACGGAAAAGCTCCAATTAAATGAATCACTCGCAAATAATTCAGTTATGTGTTACAGTTTCTTTAAAGTAAGTAGTTCACTGAGATCTCAATTATCACATCTTCGAAAGTGCTTTATAATAAAAGTCAAAATTTTAAAACACTAAAAACTTTTATTCTTTTATTACACTTTATTTGAAACTGCTGTTCATTAAAAATAGCATACAAACTGAGAAGATATGCCCTGTTACATAGGCCAAAATATATATAATTTAGAATAAGGTACTAAGAAAAACCCACAAAATAGCAAATGTTTTACAAAAATACAATAGTCATTAACTGACAGAAAAATTAAATAAAACCACTGAAATTTATAACACTTCTTTACACATAAAATTATTAATTAGTAAAATATGTTTTCATTTATAGCACATGAATACAAATACATATATTTATAATTCCAATTATAATTGCACAAAAAAGTATAATACATAAAAATAAAATGCATCTCTTCACAGTTTTATGCTATAATATTTGAAGTTCTATCACAGTATTCAATCCAAAAGAGACAAATCAAATTATTCAGAAAGATCAAATTCTGATAGCAGTGCTAGATCTTTTATATGCTAATGCATTAGAAGTTTTGTAAATAGAATTTTAATTCTAATAAATGGTACTTATGTATTAACGCAATAGGTGTGATTCATTACAGATGAAAATGTAAAAGCAACTTATCGGGTGCACGTCGTCTGTTTTCCTGCCTTTTTAAGAAAAATTATTGATATTTATAGCAAGTTGGTAAACATATTCAACGTATAAAACCCTTTAATAATTTAAAATACAAATTTTAATTATTAAACAAGGGTTATTTGATACATTAAAAAACAACACTTAACATTCTTATTCAAATCTTTCTGTAATTTTTGTTTTGTTTGTTTTGTTTTGTTTGTTTCGGGAGGGAGGTTCTTTTTTTTCTCTCGAAGTACACAGTGGTCTATTCTCACTTAAAAAAGCATTGGAAAACTGCTCAGACTCAGTTTTGTGAAAACATAGGTAACAGCGGCTGTCTAGGAAACGCACTCCTCGTTCTTCCCTTTATTTCTTTTTTTTTTATTTCCTCCTTGTCCCCTTATTTTCTGCAAGAATACAAATTTTGCATTCTTACAGAAATTCCCAAGCTCGTATTTTAAAACTAAGGGGGGGGGATTTCACAATTTGTTTATAAAAACCCAAAATTTGGTGACTTATACTTAGGTGGTTGCGTTAATATGCAAGTACCAAATAAATATGTTATGAAAGAGGAAAAGACTAAAAAATGCTAAGAAATTCTGACTTCACCTTTAAAGAAACACATACAATTTGGAAAAGTGTCAAAATATACAGATAGTACTATATTAAATATTTTGAAAATTACAATCAATAAAAAAGTTTTACGTGTTAATGTTTGTATGCCAAATCAATATTTCTTAACATTTTAATAAGCATGTCCTTTTACTAAATTTGAGAATGTTATATTAAAAGTGCAAAAAATATATAACTTACTAAAAAACAGCATTTTCTAAGGCAATGTAAAGGTGCAATATAAAATTATGCAATTTCCTTTCTCAACAGTATTTATAGGTTTATTTCAAAGAAAAATGCAGCAGAACACTAATTAACAAAAATATTTATTTTAAAATTAATTTTGGTCACGAAGTCACGTTTTTTTTAATTCATACATCAGAAAAAAGACATTTTTAGCCTACTACGGGCTGAGTGGATCAGACCACTGAATGTTGGTAGTTTGACTCAGGTTTGATTCTTGGTGGATGAGTTTTCTCATCTATGACAACTACTAAAGTAAATATGTTTAGCCATATCAACTAACCAAACTGATATTTCATAATTTAAAGAACAACACTGAACAATCTGCTGAATACTTTGATTGCATTCTTTTTACTGTATACTATTTACTTCTACTTCACATTCAAGGACAGAAACGATAAAAAAATATGAGAAATGAGCTTCAGATTTTTCATTCTTAAGAAGCACAGTTTTATTTAATTCAGATCAATTAAGAAAAATTCTACAACAGGTGATTTTAAGCAATTGATTTTTAAGTTATTTTACCTACTTTAACTTCCACTTAAGTTATTTTTCATTCTGATGTATGAATTGCTTAATTTTGCACTATTTTGAATTTCTTGAAATGAATTTAACTTGAAAACAATATTTTAATAAAACTTTGATCAGAGTTTCAAATCTTAAACTCAAACATTACTGTGAAGGGAAATAAGAGATCATATATCAGAAAGCTAAATATTTAAAACAAAAATCAAAGAAATATGATATTGTCAGAATGATCTTACATTAAACTGTTGTAATTAAGTAACTTTGCTAATAAGTAGAAAAATATTTGAGTTACATATTCACAAAATGAATTTGTTCATGATTGGCAACTGGATGATTGATAGTACAGGAAACGGTAGAAAATTTTAGAGGTAAAATTAAAAGAATATATGTTAATAATAATATACAGAGCATGCTTAAACATGCATATATTATGTATTAAAGTTTGAGTACGACAATATCAGTGTTTGCAGTGCCTCCAACTTTATTTTTAAAACTTCACTTTTGTTCGTTTTTGTAAACTGTTATGTTGATAGCAGATAACTATTTTTCTTGAGTCAATATTTCACACAGGAATGATAAAAATTTACAACAATGTACGCTAGTTTAATGCTCATAACAGTGGTTCTCAAGCTTTTGACTATAATGTACCATCTAAAAAAATTTAAAAACTTTCATACCACCACATTTTACAAAAATTTTCAATTTTTCAACAGAAATATTTAAAAAAAATATTTTGCCATTTTCACAACCTACTGGCTATTTGTATTAAATGAGCACAAATAAAAATATTAGATTAAAAATTGGTTATCATTCTTAATTATCATAATTTAAGTTGCAATACTTTAATTATAAATTTAGTACGAAATTTGAGCCTGTTTAAAAGATATTGATTTTTTTATGTCTGGTTAAACCTAGTTAGTTTATATTTAACCATAATAGTTTTAGTTTTAACTGTAAATAGGATCCACTTGTAATTTTGTTCTGTATTTTTCAAATATAACATGGAAGAAAATTTTTTGTTCACAAAAATAGGTTGTGCAAAATAACAAAATGCAAAAAGGCAATAAAAATTTAATAGTTTTATTTGAAATGCATTTTAAATTCTTTTTTTCGGTTCAGCCAAAAGTTAACAGGTGTGTTATTTTTGAAATCTTCAGTTAAGAGTTCGATCACAGGAAATTTTTATCAATTATTATTTTTCTTCACGAGATTTTTGAATTTAATGGTTAAAAATACTTTGTTTCTTTGCATACCATTGGTTGAGATTCACTGGCTAATGATGATTAAGTTTGATAATAGTTTGATAAAGTAACCATTAAAACATTAACTCTGTTGACAAATTTTCATATAAACTTCTTAAACATATAGCACATAAAAACAAGCATACTCTGCTATCATGTGCTACTTTTTGTACTAAGACATTTTTCACACAAAAGAGAGAGAAGATACACAGAACTCCACACCTTTAAAGTAATTCACAGACATTTAAAATATAATCAGCTTCAACCACTCCCACACCATACAAGCTGAAACAGTGATGGTTATTTTCATTTTTACAGTTTGAAATATGAATCATTCACACAACTTTTATGCAAATTCAAGTAATACAACAAAAAGTGGAGTACAACCATAAAAAAATCTGATCCACTTAAGTAATGCTTTTATATGTATATTTATACATTCAGGTAGTTCTTTTATATATTTATAAAACAATATCTTTAAACTGCAAAATATAAACAGCATGACTGATATAACCCACACATATATGGTGCTGGCAGTATACTTAAGTTTTCAATGGACAATCAAATGAAAAATGTTCCACAATGAAAATTTAATAAAATTATAGATTGCATTTAGTTGTACATAAAAGTCTGCAGAATTGCTTTTTACTCATTTACTTTAATTATGCTTTCAAAAAAAAAAAATTGCAACTATTCTATTTTCAACTGAACCAAAAGAAACCGAAGAATGAAATGTGCAATGAATAGTTTACAAATACCTCGGATAAATATATGTTTACTTATAAAATGTTTAACATATAAGAAGACAGAAAATGTTTTAAAAATAAAAAAGATGTGAGTGATAAGAATTTTCCCCTATTATTAAACAGAAACATATTTCAAAAAAGACCAAATGGTCAAAAGTTTGAGAGAACTTTTCAGAAGAGAATGAATAAAATTTCAAAATATTAAAAACCTGTACATGATTTCCTGTACTAAAAGGAAAAAAAAAAAAAATACAATAAAAAGTTTTGATATTATTAATATACATATTGGCATTTTGAATATTTTACAGACATAGCAGCATTAGGTATATTTACATATTATTTTTAAATACCCAATGAGAACTTTCTTCTCAATATACAAAAAATGTCTACTTACAGCATTTTTTGTAACTTATTAGCTTTTTTTCTCTCCTTGTAACTTATTAGCTTTTTTTCTCTCCAGGAAATCTGTTATTCCCTTTCCTTAAATTTTAAGGATTAGGACAATTTTGACATTTACGAAAAGTACAAGTACGTAGTAAGTTGGATTACTCGGAAATTTTTTTTTACATATGTGCACGGCTCCATTACAGTACTAAAATTAATAATATGCAAATTGCATTAAAAAATTTTATTTTTAATAAAAAATTTTAAAAATAAAATGTGAATCAAAATGTATACAATAAGAAATGTTTAATAAAAAGTGGGACCATGACACATTCAAACTGAAAATGTATGCTTACAGAATTTTTTAAACTTATTAACAGGGTTTTTTTTCCCCGTTTCCCTTTCTTTAAATTTTAAAGATTAGGACTACTTTGGCCTTTAAGAAAATAACAGGTTATGCAAAAAGTTGATTGCTCAGGGAGTTTTCTTTATGTACGTGCAAGCCTCTATTACAATACTAAAATTATTAAGTTACTGATATTTGAATTGCATTAGAACAATTTCAAAATAAAATTTATTTTCAAGACCTACTTTTATAAAATAAAACACGAGAAATAATAATGAGACGAAAAGTATTCCATGAAAGTGTCCTAGTTGGTGCCAAATTCGAATTGTGGTGGCTTCCTTAATTTATGATGTTCCCAAGGCATATTTATTCTAATGTTATAAATGTAATTCAAGACTCGAATAACAATCGTGTCAAATTATAACCAAAAATGTATTACCATAAACATACTACAAGTGAAAACTAATACAAATTGAGAAATGAAAAGAAATCAAGTTCATAACATTAGCAATAAGGTTTAGATTTTTTTCCCATGACTGTAACAAAAACCATTAGCACTAAAGTCTACTTTTTTTTATGACTGTAACAAAAAGTGATAATTAACATTTAATTAGAGAATTTACAAGTAGGAATCAATGTATTAGAACAGATAAAATTTTTGCAGACTAAAATTAATGCCAATATTATACAGAAATAATTATGTTATTTCTTTAAGTAAAAACATTAGTGGTGCTAAAATTGAAGGTTGTAGGCAATTATAAGCGCATTACTTTTTCATAACTGTGGAAAATGAAAGGACAGAATATTTATATAATAATTTATTTAACAAATGTTACAAATACAGAAATAATTCATTTAGGATTAAATGAGTTAAATAATTTGGTACCTTTAAAATTAATTTTCTTATCAAAAATATCAAAAATTAAAATAAAAAATGTTTAATAGCAGAAAAATATCATTTTTAAAAATTGAATGCAGAGCCATTAAAAGACTGAAAAAAAAAAAAAAAAAAAAAGGATTAATCGAATGGTGTTTCCATGAACTACATTAATATATAACATGACTACATTAGCTCCCTGAAAATTCCTTGCATTGCATTTTTTACAGTACCACTGCATTTTTTGACAGACATGCAAAATGAATACCATTTGCGTTTAAAACTTATTTCTATTACGATCAACTTAAAAGTAACAAGAAGTGAAAGGAAAGAGGAGAGGATATTTCACTGAACAGATGGTGTTCATAATAATTACAAAGTCTAGTTGAAGGATAACTTATCATTTAATGCTACCTATAAAACAAAAGAAGATGGGAAAATAAGAAAAACAGCTCCAAATCCTGAAATCTGTAATCATGTTTATCTCATTTACCTAAGACGGAAAACTCACATTTTTGTTTAAATTCCACATGCTTATACAAAAAAAAAACAATAAAAATAATCTATTGTAAGGTGCTATGCTTTCGCATTTACAATAATTAAAAAAATATGGTGTCTTCAGATAATAAGAATAGTCAAAGAATAAAGTTATAAAACATTACAAACTTACTTTTCATATTTCCATACTAAATGTTCAGATAAATTCAAACCATAGTACATATTTTAACTCATAAAAATTATGTGTAAATATATTTTAGTTTATAAAAGACCATAGCACGTAGTTAAAAGACAAGGGATGCATAAAAGTAATTTTTACACGTACAACAGAATAAATTACAGTTTTCCATAATTAAATAATTTCAAAGAAAAACACCTTTATAATGATCTATTCAATTTACAAATTTAGAATTAATACATTTTAAAGTTTACTAAGTTCTGAAATAGTTCAATAATTTTAGCACTTGAAGTACAAGAAAAAAACAAGCCAATAAATTTTAATGCATTCATAATATTACATATTTACAGTTTAGTTTCAAAGGCTAAGCTGCACATTTCATACTCTTAGCAACAGCTTTCAGTTTTCTTATTGCTGACATAATTGTACACTTACATATTGCAGAAAAGTTACTTAAAATGATTATACTTTTTAACATAACATAAAAATTCTTATTTTCGTTACTTTTCTTGTTCCAGTAATCATCTAATAATATAAAAACAAATTTAAAAGACAAAACCCAGATTATCAATATACATTAATATTTTTTTTTCCCTTTTATTAAATTTATGAATTGAAGACCTCTGTGTACAGAATCTTGCTTTCAAGATGAAGTGATAATTTGGGAATATGAAGCTTAAAACTGCAAATTTTATTGCATTAAAAATGTAAATCAAATATCCAAAAATAATCCCAAACATAACTTTAAGCATTTAATATTTCTTTAAGGAATCATTTCTTCACTTGTAGAATCATTCTTTAAAACATTCAACGTTACATTTGGCGGGACAAGGAACTGTTGCTGAGAATCCTGTAAAGTACAAATAATTACAATAAAATAGTGTATGTTGATAAAAGAAAAACAGCAAACCATTTTTATATACTTCTACAGTAGCATTTTGTCTCCTATAATATTAATTACAAGGCAAAAAGATACAGGGGCTTTGTATAATGCAACATTAAAAATCTAAAGACGAGTTATGCCAGAAAAAGAAAGAATACATTGGGTCTGACCTCTGTATCACGATAACAGGTACTGTAATTGAATAAATTTAATTGATCACTATTTAACTGTAACTGTAATTCAACCTCCACATTGCCTTCTAGTAATTTCGAAAAGCAGAAAGTAATACAAATATCTCAGCAGCCCGGTGATAACTATATTAGGATGGAGAAAGCATCTGCAACTTAGTAATTGTTGCTAGCCATTAGCTCAAGTGCGAGTTCCGAGAACTATCTCCGGTTTAGCTTTGCTCTTTAGCTGTGCTTTGCATAGTCTTGTGTTTAACATTCATAGTAGTTTGAAGTGTAACAGAATTTTTATTTCCTGGATCCATAGCAGAAAACAGAAATTTCCAGCACAGTGTATTGGAATATCCCAAAAACTGTAATACCTTGCGAAGACTAATAGTAGCCTTGACACTCGTTGACTTAAGATAGTTATCCCGATGAGAGTTGCCAACGTCAGTCTGATAAAGGGAAAATCATTAGGAAAGGTGAAGTGGTTGAAGCAACAGTGAGTGACCAATGTCTTCAATGAACAGCGTTACCAAAACAATAACCCTCCAGAATCTGTGTCTTTGGAGAGCCTAACATCGAAATTATTGCAAAATGCACTATCAAGCGATGAAGAGAGGAGTGCTGCTGAATGTATCATTCAAGAATTTCAAGATGTTTTTCCCCACTCATCTTCTGATGTAGGTTGAACCAGTTTGATACAACATAGAATTGATACCGGGGATCACCATAATGGCAAAATTTAACCATAAACTTTTTAATTCTAATCTAAGCACAAGAAAAAAGGCTACACTGCACTAAGTTCATTCTCATGCAGGTTTTAGCATTTCAAAGGCCAACAAAGGTGGCCACAGTCATCACAGACGAAAACAGTTACACTTATAATGTCGCTAAACTCTTAAATGAAGGCCCGCATAATCTGATCCCTGAAGACACTCCACCTTTAGACCTCTCAAAAATAAAAACTTAAAATAAGTGGGTTGGAAGGATTCATGATTAAATCATAAATCCTTCCAACCCACTTCTCCTATACATCTTAGATTCTAGAATTAGTTACTTAAAACATATACCATAAAAAATTCAATAAAGTCTATAAATAAATTTTTAAATATTTCTCCTAGAAATTCCGTCATAGTTTCTTTTGATATAAAATCATTAGTTACTAATGTTCCAGAGAAAGGTGTGCTTAGTCTAGAAACCAGACTGAGAATTTCATTTCTTATGTATCGAAATTGACGAGTCAATTTTCTATACTTAACTTAGTCTGAAACAAATGCATTTTATTTTGCACTGTAAGTATTACAAATAGTCTGAGGGATAAGTTGCAGGAAGCCCTCCCATAAGCACACTTAGTTGCTATGATGTTGCAGTGACTTCTCAATGTTGCATTTTCTTCACCTTGCATTTACAACCACGGTACAACATCGCAGAAATGCCGCATTGTCATGTTGAAGTGAATGTCGTACAGATGTCACATACATGTCACAGCAAACGTTTAATGTGAGGACAAGAAATTCGCAGTCTTCCCCTCCTGACCTTTCCCGCATAATCCTTCTTTAATGGGAGGTATTCTGGCATGCTCCCCCCCCCCCGCCGTCAATTCATTGCTATGTGTTTCAGTAAACCTTTCTAAATAAATGATTCTTTTATAAGCTAATAGCTTGCAATTTTAGATATTTCTTTTTTATTAAAACTATTAACAATTTTTAGCGTGTTTTCATTGATGTAGTACTTCGAAATCATTGAACTATATTCTGTGGTGAATGGATTCACATTCTAATGTACCTAGAGACTGACGAAAGAGTTTGTTGTCTGCATAGCATTTGTTTGTCTTAAGGATTTTCGCAACCATTTTTTTAGTTGTGTTCACCCAACACATCGTCCGTGCTACATTTTCAGGTAAGCACTCTTTATTGCATATTGAAGTGAATGACATCAGTAATAATTAATATGTAATAATAACAGCGTAATTTAAATGCTATGAACAAAAAGAAATACTGGCAGTAGATTAATTTTTATTTGTATTACAAAGAGTGCGGAAGCAAGGGCCATTATCAAAAGTCATATTTTTGTCTTGCTGCTTAGAAATTTTAATTTAGGGAATCAGGTTTATTTGGTAGATATAATTCACATTTTGTTGTTTTTAATGTTAAAAGATAATGTGAAAAAAGAATTGATTTTATGCATTTTACTGCGGTACTTTCATAGTGTTCAGCTATTTTTCGAAATTATTCGCAAAATAATTACTTACTTCCATGCGGGTAATTAGCACCACATTATAGATGATGCAATACTTTCATAACCACATTTTAGTTATATAGAGCATGTTTTTTTAATTATTATAACTTACAAATGGTGTATTACTTTAAAACACTGAACTTTCTACATGTTTCCTATATGTAAATTTCTAAGATTAGTTTTAAAACTGATATTAGTTTAAAATTATATCAGATTTTTTCTTTTAGCAAATTATATCACACTTTTACGTATACAGTCAAAAGTCTTTAATCCGGACATCCATAATCTGGAATGATCTATAATCCGGACCTCAAAGCTGCAAAATTTCAGAGCATGCATAAACGCAAAACAGACAGTATAAGCTAAGCTAAAATTATCTAATTATCTATTTCAGTTAATGTTAATTGTTCCTTAATTTTTAAATTTGATCCGGCTTATTTTTTGCAGACCGTTAGAGCAATTTTATAAAAGTAAACTTGAACTTTCGATTATGTCAAAAAGAATTTCCGATTCTGGAGCTGCCAAAGGATCTAAAAGTAAACTTGAACTTTCGATTATGTCAAAAAGAATTTCCGATTTTGGAGCTGCCAAAGGATCTACAATGCGAAAGCAGGTTTCAATGCCCATCAAATAAAAACTGGAATTGCTGCAAAAAAATGGATAAAGGCATATCCTTTGTTTCTCTCACCATTCCGAAATCTGCTTATCAATTTCACGCTGTTCTGCGGGGGGGATTCCTTACTAAGTGTAGTATTTCATCTCGATGTACTCCATCTTTGATATGATTTAAATCAAATTCCTCGTCATTATAAATATCACGAATACACATCAAATAGTTTTCTGGTTGCAATTTTCTAATTTTGACTAAATAAAGTAAACATATAAATGTATGCTTAATGCATGCGCGCGTTGAAAGAAATGTTTAATAAAGTAAACATAAATATTATGCTTTTTTTTTTTTTTTTTTTTTTTTTTTTTTTTTGTAAATCTTGTTACCCTTTAGATCATAATTGCTCTTTATTTCATAAATTATGGTTTCATATTTTTAATTTCATAATTTCTGCATGCCATCTTACCAGATTTAAATTGATGATCTATAATCTGGAAAAACCGATAATCCAGAATCTCCGAAGTACCGACGAGTCCGGATTAAAGACTTTTGACTGTAATATATTTGTGTTGTTAAGGTAACTTAATTTCCTTATTAAGATATTTAATTAGACAAAAATATTTCCCAGTTTAGGTCAATTTATTTGAATATGGCAAAACATACGAGGGCTGTCTACTTAAGAGAAGGGATGCATTTGTGGAGGACTTTCTAAGGAAACTAACTCATATTCACTTTATATATTAAGAAAAACATGAAAACCTGTGCAAAAGTATTTGTTGCTTGAGAGATTAAGAGAATATATTTATGGTATTAATTTTTTTAAATAGATACATAAATTATTTAAATGATAACAATATAAAAATAAGAAAATTACATTTCATCGTTACTTTATGAAGGAAGTTAGAACTTCACTTGTGACAAAAGAATATAAATTAATAGTAATTTGTCTCTAAAAGTACAAGTTACTTCATGTTATAAAGAAACCGAATTTTAAATTGTATTTTAAGAAAATTTAACTTATTGCAGACAATTTTATAAATGTAATAAAATTACTATAAATCAAAATGTATATTTAAGCTTCACCGATAAGCTTTATTCGAAATAATAATTTTATTTTAAATTAATATATTTCACTTCTGCAAACAAGATATTTTATTTTGTTATTATAAACTTAAAAATTACATCTAACCCTCTAATTGCGTTTAAATTAATTATCTAAATTTATCACATCTAGTTTTGCTTTAATCTATCATTTTCAGAAATAAACACTGAAAAGATACTAATTTCTGCAATCGTATTTGAAAAGCTTAGAAAAATTAAGAAAGGAATCTTTCACAAAGGAATTTTTAAAATTTCATCGTGATAACTTGGAAATTCACATATTATAAAACACTGATGAATTTAAGTCTTTGCCAAACAGGAGAAGAAAAACTGAATTTAAGGTAAAATACAACTTCACGGAATTCTTTTTATTGAGACAGATTTCAGTTCTTTGCCACATTGAAATAAGAAAATAAATTCATTTGGAAATTTCATAGCTAATTCCTGGAGAGTCAATTGTAGGTTCTGAAAACTCCATATAATTGCACTGCATTATACTGTGGAACAAACAAATATTTCTTTTAATGTAAGAGGAGGAGTTTTATATTTTCATTGTTTTCTAATTTTTACAAAAGTTGTAAAGTTATTCCTACAAAATTAAGTAGTGGAATTACTTTTATTTTCATAAATACAGCAAATTTCAATTTCAAATTATAGCCAATTTCAATTTGAACAATAACTGAAATTCAGTTTTAATTGCGTAGTTTCTAAAATGAAAGGCATAAGCGTGTTTTCATATTTCATTTCACATTGGTGTTTTCATTTTGTTATGTTAAAGAAATCAAATAATCTATATCTCTTCAGTTAAAAGTATACTAAGGAAACTGTTTCTTTAATTCCAGTCT